CCTCTTTTGGAAGACCAAACAAAGTAGTTTCGCTTTCACATGAAAAACACAGCGGCCTAGCGTGAGCTGAGGCAGGGCTAGAGTGAGCAGAGGTGGCGGGGTTGAGAACGGCGCGGCCGGTGGATCCGACAAAGGAGCGGCAAGCACATGTGGTGACCCCGGGCTGGACTCCGCTTCGTTCACGGTGAAAGCCAATCCGGTGATCCACAGCACTAAGTTGATGTATTTCTTCAGCGACCAGCACGGTCAGCTCCAGGCATGACGAAGCGGATATCGTCCTCTTTTGGAAGACCAAACAAAGTAGTTTCGCTTTCACAACGAAGCACACAGCGCCTTCACGACATGGCGGCGGCGGCAACAATACTACAGCGAGAATAAAAGTTATGCCTTCTTTCTTTGCGTGAACATTTGGGCGGCGTTATGCAAATCTTCCCAGCTGACTCTTAACTTTTATAAAGAATATCTCTTTGGATTTGAGACTTTAGTCTTTGTAACTTTACAGATCTGCTTTATGCACCAAGAGCTTGTAACACTCCAAAGAGAAAGGAAAAATTGAAATAGCATCATATGACCCCTTAAATGCTTTTGGGAATGCAGCCCAGAACAATTCTTATCAGTGGACAGAAAATGCTGAAAAATGCTGAAAATGCTTATTTGAGTCATATATTCCAAGACGTAGGCTAGAATCTGTGCTGTGAGGGCAAAGTACAATATCCACGCCCGTGCGGTGACTGCCTGCCACACATACTCCTCAAAACATTAGATTCATCCGCGCTGGAGCCATGCCGTCGCACAACCCACGCAAGCTAGATAATTCCGCACACAGCTGCAATTGCAGGTTTTCAAACAGAGATGGCGACAAAGAGGCAAAACTTATGGACTGCAGCTTTAACCATTAAAGCGTATTGAACGTTGACGTGTTTTAAATATAAAGTTAAGTAGGTAATTACCCATTTTTTACTCATAGTAATTTAATAATTTAATAAATTCATAATTGAAAAGTTCAGTTTAGAAGTATCATATTGACATCGACGACACTGGCCTTTAAAAGTATCGATATCGAAAACAAAATAAGTGGTATCGCCCATCCCTAGTCACGACCCACGCATTTCGCTAAATGTCATAAAGAATCCTTGCGCTCATTGGCTGCTGCCTCTGCACACACGCTAGTAGCGCACCGTAATGAAATTAGACAATGGAATAAACTTGTTATCCTGCTTTACCATCAAACACAAGGGGAAAAACAGTATCTGTACAGCCGAAGAAGCAGCTTTGAAGCTAAAAGACAGGCAAAACCAGCATAAACATGTGGCAGTAACACGGTGGAATGCTTTGATGCTGAACAATCCGGAGTAGTGAAAATTTGCTTCTTTTTTGTGTTAGACAGGTAAGATATCTAATTATCATGTTAACCGCTCACTAAAACTCACAAGTATCATTGCATTTTTATAAAACTCAAGAGAAAGTCATACTGCGTCTAGTACAGGAAGAATGCTAATGCTAGCTAAACTGAATGCACCATTAATAATATGTGGGTCAACTTCACAACCACTAGTACTGCCTGCTGTGGCCACAAGATAGCAGCGTTTCTCAGTGAAATCGGCCTGAATTTAAGAATTTAAAAAGGCTCATGAATATTGATTAAGGTAAGCCACTGGGCAGGCCAGGACGGTTGCCAAGCAGCTTAAGCATAATTATATTCTGGTAAATCAGTCACCTGATTAATATTCATACTCAAGATGGCAGCGTTTCTCAGGTAAGCCGGCGTGAATTTATGAATTTAAAAAGACTCATGAATATTGATTAAGGGAAGTCACTGGACAGGCCAGTGCGGTTGCCAAGCAACGTCATAATAATTATATTCTGTTAAATCAGAGTCACCTAATTAATATTCATAAGGTACACCTTTAGCTGTACTGTAGGAGAATAAGCCACGTTTGAAACCAACTTCTTTAAATGTACTATGTAAGTGTTAAACAAGAACACAATACAAATAAACAGGCTGGTTTATTTATATAACGAGGCAGGCAGGCATAAAACAGGGATTTTATGAAACATCATGCGCTTTCTCAAATTCAACACCCTGAGAGCTTCATTCAAACGTGCATATCTCTCAATAAGAGAGCTTTATATAAAGAAAACATGTATTTCCAACAGTGCATTATTTCTTAAAACTAAATATCCTAACTAAAATATATAATATTAATATAGTATTGCTTTAGTCTTTTACTGTACATACAAACGTGTTATTTCAGCATTAATCTCCTGAGACTTACTAATTCTGTGGACATATGGACACTGCTTTGTTGTAATAAATCATTATAAAAAATTTTAAGTGATCTCAGATTCAAATTTGGATTAAAAATTCAATAAAAATATTAAATATTAAACAAAAACATGTATTAATTAAGAATTATTATAGTTAATTATAATGAATTAATGGATGAATTAATGAATATTTAGAGCAAAAAAAATAGGATACATAAAAATTATTACATTTAAAAAATAATTTGTAATGTTTAATGTTGATTTCTAATAAATGTATATTTAATTTTAAATTAAAGAGATCTCAGATTAAATGTATATATAAAAATCTGATTGAAATATAATTTATAGTAAACTATAATATATTAATTAACCTATTATGAATTATTACAATTAATATTATGAATGTGTGTATTTATACAATAAGCAACCTATATAAAAATATTTTAAAAAGTAACATTAAATTTATATTACAATTCCAAATAAAAAATAGCTGTGTATGTATAAATTAAATGTTATATATATATATATATATA